CACCCTCTCGCTATGAAGGCCAACGTACCATTTGCCTTCTTCACCTTACCTTCAGCAACTGACGCACAAGGACCCCCAGGCCTCTTTGTACCTCCAGGCCTCTTTGTACCGCCCACTCTTCCCAATTTATCTCCATTCCACATAATAATTCCTGAGTTTTTGCTCCCAATGCAGATGACCTCACATTGACCCATATTAGATTGGGCCTGCCCTGCCTATGCCCACTCCATCAGCCTCTCCCCATCTCACTGCAGCCATCCCCTCCCTCCCCTCCCTCCCAGCGTGGTATTGTCTGTGACCATGTGGATTGGGACTGTGAAGATGCCATTCAGCCCTTCAATGTGCCTCCATTCAGTTTGACTGGTTCACATTCTCTCCTATCCCACCCCCACCCCCATAACCTTTCAGCCAAACACCGCCTTTGACATACCCAGAAACTCGGCCTTTTGAGATTCACCGCCCTCCGTGAGAAAATTATTTCCCCTCATCTAGGTCATCAATGGACAACTCCTTATTGTTCAACTGTTTCAGACATTAACGTTAGACTGGGAATCCCAACTCACCCTTAACTCACATCCAAGCCAATAGGTAAGATATGAAACTGTGCTCTGATTGTTTTCCTGGGAATGGGTGCTTTACAGAATTCGCTGTTATCTATGGCTGGTTCTTAGCTCTCAGGTTCTCAGCTGCGGTCCAAGTCTCTCTTTGTAAGTGTTCCAGGTCCCTCACTATATAATGTCTTGCCTGGAACTGGACTCCCCATATAAACACAGCGGCTACAAGAGCAGGTCAGAGGCTGGGAATCCTGTGGTGAGTAACTCCTGACTCCCCAAAGCCTGTCCCACCATCTACAAGGCACAAATCAGGAGTGTGAGGGAATAACCCCCCCACTTGCCCCTGGATGGGGGCAGCCCCAACAACACTCAAGAAGCTCGACACCATCCAGGACAAAGCAGCCCCCGCTTGACTGGCACCACATCCACAAACATCCCACTCCCTCCCCCACCGACGCTCAGTAGCAGCAGTGTGTACCATCTACAAGATGCTCTGCAGAAACTCACCAAAGATCCTCAGGCAGCACCTTCCAAACCCACGACCCACTTCCATCTAGAAGGACAAGGGGCTGCAGATACATGTGAACACCAGCCCCCTGCAAGTTCCCCTCTGAGCCCCTCCCCATCCTGACTCGGAAATATATCCCCGTTCCTTCAGTGTCGCTGGGTCAGAATCCTGGAATTCCCTCCCTAAGGGACATTGTGGGTCAACCCACAGCACATGGGCTGCAGCGGTTCATGGAGGCAGCTCACCCCCACCTTCTCAAGGGGGCAACTAGGGACGGGGCAATAAATGCTGGGCCCAGCCAGAGACACCCATGTCCCGGGAATAAATTTGAGAAAAAGAGCGGCAATATGAAGACAAATTGCTGGAGAAACTCCGGCAGTGACATGTGGAGAGAGAGAGAGAGAGAGAGAGAGAGAGACAGAGTTATCTGTTTGGAGTGTGGTGACCATTTTGAGAACAGGTGGGGTTATTGAGTTTTACCTGCAATCTCGAGGTCAATGGATTGCTGAGCGTGTAGGTTCGGCATGTAGACGGTGCAGATGTAGCTCCCTTCGTGCCTCATTTCCACGTTCCGGATCAAGAGCGAGGCATTTCCCCGACTGTGTGCCTCGTAGAAGAACATCTCCGTGCCCTCCTGTGCCATGTCCACCCGGTCCTGAGCACCATTGTAGGCGTAAACCAGGTGCCCGCTGCCCTTGAACTGGTAGCGCCACTCCACGGCAAAACCGGTCTGCCTGTCCATGGTGAAACCGCAGTCCAGGAGGACGTCACGTTTCAGCCTTGTCTTCATGCTTGGAGTACTGGTGAAGACATTCAGGACAACTGGGAGAGGAAACATCAACGTTACAGGAAACAGAGTGCATCAGGTCAGACTGCAGAGCTTGGTATGCAGTGGAGGGTTTTTAAATCATGCTCACCGTCTCATCACTGAGTGGAAACATCTTCCCTGCTCCTACCTTGTGTATTCCCTTCGTAATTTTATATGTTTCTATAAGAACCCCCCACCCCATCATTCTTCTAAATTCATGGCAACCCTACAGTTCGCTCAGTGGTTAGCCCTGCTGCCTCACGGTGCCAGGGACGCGGGTTCGATCCCACCCTCGGGCGAATGTGTATGTGGAGTTTGCACATTCTCCCCGTGTCTGCATGGGTTTCCTCCAGGTGCTCCGGTTTCCTCCCACAGTCCAAAGGTGTACAGGTTAGGGTGGATTGGACGTGCTAAATTGCCCC